AAAAAAATACGATTTTTGTAAAAAAATTCATTTTTATATTTTTAACTTTATAGTGCTATAACTTTTTGAAAGATGTATGGATCAATATAAATTTTTTTTTATAGATGCATGATGTCTTTACCTATCATTTGATATATATTTTTTTTATATCTGACCCTTTACCTGCCCACAGGGGGGGATTTAAAAATAAAAATATTTCACAAAAAATTTACTTTTTCAACTTAAATTTTGAAAGTGTTCCGGAAAGTCTGACACTTTTATATATATCTTAAATTAAAGCTAATGTAATTTACTTTATTATGCGAAAAAAAAATTTCGGACTTTATTTTATCTTCACGGTGAAAATGGCTACCAAATGCTATTATTGTGTGAAAATTCTCGATTTTATTTTTTACATTTTTAACTTTATAATGCTATGACATATTGAAAAGTGTATGGATCAACATTATTTTTTTATGAGAAATAATATTTTTTAATAATCCCTTTTTCATTCTACATACTTTATCTTAATTAGGATATTAATAATGAACTAGCAGATAATGTAGCTTTTGGAATAGTCCACCAATTTTTTAAAATTAAACAGTATCTAAAGATTTGCATCGAAGCGTTTTTTTTTTATAGTGATTTTAATCACTGTCAGATATCATTATACTTGATCCATCTATACCACGTCACCACTGTGCCGCGACCCCCCTGTGCTGGGTTTTTTTTTTAATTAAAAATAAGTTGAAAAAGTTCTACTTCTATACGCATTTTTTAGTTTTGAATCACTCTTTTATAAAGGGGATTAAAAAAAAAATATGTCGAATGAAAGTAGTATATAAATAGTATTTCTCATAAAAAAATTGTATTGATCCATACATTTTTCAAAAAGTTAGAAATATAAAGTTAAAAATGTAAAATATAAAGCCGAGAATTTTAACACAAAAATAACATACGATAGCAATTTTACCGTGAAGCAGTGGCGTAAAAAACACCCCCGCAATGAGGGAGGGCGCCAAATTACGAATGTTCAATTCCGCTCTTACGAGCGGAATGACCAGACAAAGGAAATTCCCTATATTAGTTCATAGGAAG